AAAAAAAAAAAAAAAAAAAAAAAAAAAAACCTGAACACAGTCTAGGCTTAACTGGAGTAAGCTTCACCATAAAGGGGAGAAGCTTTCTCATTACAAAGAAACAGAATGTTTAGGCAAATACACATATGTTCTTTGATATAGTAAAATGGATCTCTTTAAAATTCCTTTAAACAGGATTTGTTTAGGACAGCAGCGTTGTTTTAAAGTCTTTTTCTATAGCTTCAAAAACATTTCTTTCTTTATTAATTCTTTGTAGTTCTTAAAAGGATAAGGGTATATCCCTTAGGAAACCATGACAGAGATTCTGCAGCCTTCAGACCAAGTCAAATCCAGCCCTCTAACTAGTAACATTCTACCATTACATTAATAAATACCCTTCAAGGATAATCATGAGTGGAGCTTTGTGGCAGAAACACTCCAATACCTCAAAGATGCTACAGCTGGGGGAAATGTCTTGTAAATAAAGAAGAAGCACTTAAGATAATAGCTTTTTTCCCAAAAAGTCTTTAGTTTTACAATTTTCTTTAAAACAGTAAGCAAAGCACCACATTCTCTCTTCTTATCAGGGTATCTTCTGTCCTCATAATATAATTAACAAGGACAATTATATTACTTATTTCAAGAAAACACTACACTTTTCATTTCTCCCATTCTTCATATTAGAAGTACTAGGTCCCCAGTGCATGGACACCAGACACTGGGGTAATGAATGAAATATAATAATTTGAAGGGAAGTATGTAACTTATAACCAAAACTTACCCAGGATTGCGTATTTGCATATTTACAAGTTAGTGTATAGCTCTGACTTGGATTACAAAGTGCGAAAGGAAATTGTCAAAATGATTGTAGTGCAGAATAGAGCGCTTTCCCCCTCTCCAAGAATTGTTTCCACTTTGTCTCCAAAGTAGCAAATCAACAGCATCGGACATGTGGTCTTGGTGGAGGCAGTTCTGGGGGTATCTCAGGCTCTGGTTGTAATGAGAGGATACTATTGGACAACTCATTCCTTAAGATGTCCAGAGGCATCTAAAGGTTAAGGAGAAAAGATAAACACATTTTAACCCCATAAAGTACATTACAGTTGACTTGTGAACGACCTGGACTTACATGTGAATTTTTTTTCAATGCAAGTTAGGACAAGCATGCCTGACCTGCCTTCCTGCCTCTCCCACCCGCAAGGCAGTGAGACCAACCCTTCTTCTTCCTTCGTCTACCCAATGTGACAAAGATGATCCATTCCCACTTAATAAATAAGAAATGTATTTTCTCTTATGATTTTCTCAGTATTTTTTTCTCTAACTTACTTTATTGTAAGAATATAGTATATAATACACAAAGCATACAAAATAAGTGTTGGTCAATCAACTGTCACTGGCTGAGGCTTCCAATCAACAGCAGGCTATCAGTAGTTAAGTATTTGGGAATCAAAAGTTATATGCAGATTTTTGACTGTGTGGGGTACCCCTAACCCCTGTGTTGTTAAAGGGGCAACTGTCAAGATTTTGCATATAATTATATAATAAAGTATTGTTCTATAAAGCTCTCTGATCGAAGATTATCCACATGTTAAAATATTAAGAAAAAAAAAAAGACAAACATGTTCAGGGCACTGCATGTCCCAACACTGAACACCAGGGACTCTGTAAGTCCAGAAGACTCTATTTAATATCCTGTTGTAAAGTGACCTGACCAACCTCATAAACATTTATTTTCACTGTACTCAGTATAATAAAAATTTAATGCATTACTAAATGAAAAAATGGTTTGTATTCTAAGGACTTAACTTCAGTTCTTACTAATAATCTTTGAATGGAAGCCTCAAGATGCTCGAATAAACTATTGCTGCTCAGCAAAGTGTCCAGCAAATTCCCCACAATTCAGGGTCACAGAAAGGCCTCTGTGAGGGGGCTCCCTGAGCACTAAGGAGGCAAGTGCAGCTCTGTGTTGGACTTAATTTTCATGGGAAAATAGGAAAAAAGAAAAATAAATGTCAAACATGCCATGTTGCTACAGCATGTTTAAGTCATTCCACCAAAGCATACGTCAGGGCTGAGCAAATACCCTGCACATGGACGCTGAGGACACAGAAACCCGAGATGGGAGACAGTGTCACTGTAGCAGGAGGATGCCCCCAGCTGGGCCGACAGCTATACCTGGTTCTGGATCCTAAGCCCAAATGTACTTTTGTGTCTAAATAAATACTTCTCAACAAAAATGTAATAAAGGAAAAAACAGGTTTCAGGATGTAGATTTTTTTTTTTTTTACCTTTTTCAAAATGTCATCAACGAGTTTCAGAAATATCTCATCCACATTGAAGTTATCCTTGGCACTTGCTTCACAGAACCGCATCCCAGTTATCTGCTGTGCAAACTGAGAAGAAAAACACATACCATTTCCTCTGTGTGGGCACCACAGAGTTCTGGGGTGGGTCCCAGCCACTGGGCTCAGCTTTAAACAAAGAAGCTGGGCTAAAGGGCTAAAAGTCCCATTTGTGTCCAAATATAAAATTCACAAGTATAATGAATTCCTACATTATGAAGAACTAGCAAAATAACACACAACAAAATCTCTAAGATGCTACTAGGACCTGCCAGTCAAATTACTTGGCCAAGTCTCTAAATATGTAATATTTTATGAAATACAAGTGACATGATTTCTCTGTGATTGAATCCTTAGCAAAAATGAAGGAAATTTAAAATCCTGAGAGCAATTTTATGGCTCAAAAACTGTTTCCCTATGTAACAACAGAATGTCAGGTTAGATGATAACTATGCGACACTGATGGGCTTTGTCTCCACCTCAGATGAACACAGAGGCGCAGGAGTAAGAACAGAAAGCAAATGAATGAGAAGGACGAGGCTGAGTGACCATCTCCTGATAGAAACAGTAAGTGATCTGTGAAAAGCAAAGGACACCAAGTCTGAGTGCCGTGCAGGGCCCGGGCCTCTGGTGGCCCCACACCTCTCACCTTTTCGCCTTGCTGCCTGGTGATTTCTCTGTCTGCTTCACAGTCCAACTTATTTCCAACTAAGAGGAGTTCTGCATCTTCTGAAGCATACTGTGGAAGTTTAAAAGAAGCTGCATTTCAAAGATGGCACATACTGAAGGGAAAGGTGACCCTGTATGGGACTTTGGGCTCATTCACTTCTGTCACACGTGAGGGCCCAGCAGGTCCCTGGCAGGACTGGACTCAGGGTGTGATAGAGGGCTCACTGCGTCCTAGACAGCCACCTGGTCACAGGCACTTGGAATCACAATGCTCTTGTCCTTTGACAAAATCCTATGATTCCATCCTAAGGAAATGATTCAACACACAGCACAAAGCTCTACACTCAATTGAAAAAACCTGAAAGTCCTACAAAACAGATGAAGAATCAAATAAGTTAAAGTAATTCCTAAAAAACACAGTCATTAAAAGCAAAAAGTATGCTTTATTTATTGTTTGAAAAACCATTTAGTGACACAGGAAAGGCCTCTTGATAAATATTCAGTGAACTAAGATAAATGGAGTCAGTTCAATTTGGTTTTTCAGCATGCTAAAAGTATAAATTTTAAATTTACTTTTGGGCTTTTCTTGATTTACCAAATTTCTATAATGAAAGTATCATTGATTTTATAAATAGGAAAAAAAGTTATGCTACATTTCTAAGTTTTAAAAAATAGATGTTAGCTGGGTATGGTGGTACACATCTGTAGTCCCTACTTGTGAGACTGAGGCAGGAGGATCACTTAAGTCCAGGAGTTTGAGGTTGCTGTGGGGCATGGCTGGGCCACTGTATTCCAGCCAAAGCAACAGAGCAAGACATTGTCTCTTAAAAATAATAATAATAATAATAAAATAAAAAATAAAATAAAATAAACATAGGTCCACAGCAGAATTCTCTCTCATTAAAAAAAAATGGTAAAATCTCTGAAGCAACTCAAATTTAATTTTATACATTTCTTAAAAAGTTATTTCAAAGAGACTGTAAAAGAAAAAAAAAGACACCTAAACATTGTGGCCTTGGCCCAGTTACTCAGCCAGTCTCTGACGTCGGTGACGTGTAGGCAGCAGTGACAGCACCTGTCTGCACTCATCAGTCAAGAGATGCCCCTCCCACCAAATACTGATGAGAAGCAAAAGGGCGCCACAGCAGACCTTCCTCAGAATCCAGAGATTCAGGCTCCTTGCTGGGTCTTGGGAATTAGGCCATTTCCTTTAGTTTTATATTCACATTAGTTCCAAAGTTTTAGACTATAAAACCTGTCCCTTTTTAACCTCCTGAGGAGCAGACACTGGCTTCATTCAGCTCCAGTGTCATCAGAGGAGACATCAGAACCCAGTGATGGACTCTACCTCAGGGGGAATTCATCTTTGCAACCCTGGTCCAAGACACATTTTAAAGAGGCATACGCAGATGACATGCTTGGTGAAACTGGCAAGTGCACATTTTCTAACATTATTTAACAGACAGGTTCAAATAAAATTTGTAGACAAAATCCGATTTGTATTAGGTGCTCTTGTTAAACAAAGGAACTAAACATCAAATTATTGTGCAAGGGGAAGAAAACTCAAACTGTGGTCAACTGCATACCCCACATCTCACCCCCAACCGTTCTCCCTTCTAAATGTCCATCTGGGGAATACATTTCTTAGAGGAAAACCCATGGCTGAAATTAATCACACAAACACAGGATACTCAGTGGATTCGATTGGGGCCAGAAAAGAAAATCTACTCTGTTCAAAATAAGGAGCTAAAGGATAGCTACAACTCAGAGGCAGATGCCCAGTGGGTGATGGACGCCTTTGCTCTGCCCGCAGGCACCGTGGAGGAAGCCATCTTCTCCATGACAGCAGGTGGAAATAGTGGACTGAGTCAGACAGTTCAGAGCACCAGAATAAAAATCCTAGTTTTATTACTTCTAAGTTGACTCTGGATAAATTTTATTCTTCTTTGCCTCATCTATAACATGGGACTACATAACTACCCCGAAGACTACTACAATGATGGTTAGTCTGTATGAGGGCAGGCTCAGTAGAAGTGCTTTCCCCTTCTTCCTTTGCTAATGATTAACATCCACAAGCAGAGGACTCCCACTGGACAGAAAGTGAAACACATACCTTATCAATCATCTTCATCCATTTTGGCAAATCATCAAACGTCTCCTTCTTAGTGATATCATACACTAATATGATCCCCTTTGCACTTCTGTAATAAGCTGAGGTAATGCTGTTGAATCTCTCCTGACCAGCTGTGTCCCTGAGAAACAGCAGCAAAAATCAGTTCCCAAACAATAATCAAAGTAAGCGACTCCACATTCCAATGCAAATCTAAGTTAGGTACGCTTCTGTTTCTCTACTGTGGAAGAACATGAGTAACACGTATGCTTCTTTTTTTTCCTTCCCTGATGACTACAATTGAAGAGTAGGAAAATTTCAGGTTGACTAAAAAAACTGAGACACAAGCTATCACATGGGTTAATTAAATTAGATGGATGGCGATGGATTATGAACCCAAGTGAATATACTATTCCAAATAACTTTCCCCTTAAAGATAGAAAATCAGCAAGAAGAATGCTAATACAACATCCAAATATGGGATCATGATGTTTTTACAAAATAAAATGGGGTAAAAGCTTTTAAAATGTAATATTTACAAAGCAACCCCTAAGAGCTCACATTGCAATGACCTGCAAAACCATTTATCATACCTGAGAGCAAAGGCAATGCACAGGGAATGCAAATTTTACACACACACCCACGCCCGCCTGCTCTCACACGAGATAAACGGTGTGTATCCTGAGACTATAAATTAAATGAACGCCTCCCCATGTCAAAGAGGATTCACTTCTCACTAGCCATCAGTGCCAGTGCTGAGGGGGAGGCTGGGTCACCAACCACCACTCCAGATGAGAGAAGGAACAAGATGCACGACTGCAGCCAAACAGACCCGGTCTGAAGTCAGCAGCACGGGGCCCGTGGGGACAGGCAGCCAGCTTCTGGGAACACTGCTGGCTGTGTACTACTGCTACATACAGCAGCAGCCCCACGGCGGGCCCAGCCCTCACATCCACAGTCACTCATGGTTAGTTGCAGTAGCTTTTCTGAACTTGTCAAGTTCAAACAAAAACAGAGAAGTCCCAATTATTTCCAAACCAAGATTTTGGAATAAGAAAATGAGAATCTTAATGACAGAAAGACAGTCACAATAAAGGAAAAAGGTGGATCCCCTAATAGTTTAAAGATGATAAAATCCTGTATACAACCAAATCTTAATTTTTTCTCAAATAAAATGTCCTCCCTATGTGAAAGTCTGGGCAAAAATAATAAAGCACAAAGTAATATTTGATCTCATACCTCATATTTAAAGGGCTAACATAAACTAACATTAGGTTTGTAATAAATTTTGGTTTTTTGTCATCCTGGGTACAGTACCATGGCACCACGGCTCACAGCAACCTCAAATTCTTGGGCTTGAGCAATCTTCCTGCCTCAGCCTCTTGAGTAGCTGGGACTATAGGTGCCTTTCACAATGCCCAGTTAATTTTTCTATTTTTGGTAGAAATGGGTCTCACTCTTGCTCACACTGGTTTCAAACTCAAGCAATCCACTCACCTCAACCTCCCAGAGTGCTAGGATTACATGAGTGCGTCATTGTGCCCAGCCCTGAGAAGTACATACTTTAATACATCTTCATTCTAAGCAATTTTAATCTGGCTTTTAGTGTGAATCAACTCATTCATTTCTATATACTATCAATGAATTTAGAATCAGATACTGGAGTTCTCCTGTCTATAATTTCTTAAAACCAGAGAAACTATAGACAACCGAAAACAATTTTTTTTTTATTAAATCAAAGCTGTGCACATTAATGCAATTATGGGGTACAATGTACTGGTTTTATATACAATTTGAAATACTTTCATCAAATTGGTTAACAGAACCTTCACTTCATTTTCTTGTTATTGTTCTGAGACATTTATATTCCATACTTAGGTTTAACTTGTACCCTTGTAAAATGTACTGTAGGTGTGGTCCCACCACTTCCACTCTCCCCTCCCCTCCCTTTCCTGCCTCTTTCCCCTTCTTCTCAGGCTATAGTTATGTTATAGCTTTCATATGAAAGTGTGGGTGCTTATAAATTGATTTCATAGTAGGGCTGAGTACATTGGATACCTTTTCTTCCATTCTTGAGATACTTTGCTAAGAAGAATATGTTCCAGCTCCATCTATGTAAACATGTAAGAGGTAAAGTCTCCATCTTTTTTAAGGCTGCATAATATTCCATGAGTACATATACCACAATTTATTCATCCATTCATGGGTTGATGGGCACCTGGGCTTCTTCCATGACCTAGCAATTATGAATTGGGCTACAATAAACATTCTGGTGCAAATATCTTTGTTAAAAAGTGATTTTTGGTCTTTTGGATATATACCTAGTAGAGGAATTCAAGGATCAAATGGTAGGTTTATTTTTAGATCCCTATGTGATCACCAAACATCTTTCCAAAAGAAAAGTATTAGTTTGCATTCCCACCAGCAGTGTAGAAGTGTTCCCTTTTCTCCACATCCATGGCAACATCTGTGATTTTGGGATTTTGTGATGTGGGCTAATCTTACTAGAGTTAGATGATATCTCAAAGTGGTTTTGATTTGCATTTCTCTGATGATTAAGGATGATGAGCATTTTTTCAAGTATTTGTACGCTGTACATGTCTTCTTCAGAGAAGTTTCACTTCAAGTCCTTTGCCCACCCTGAGATGGGATCACTTGTTCTTTTCTTGCTAATACATTTGAGTTCTCTGTGGATTCTGGTTATTAAACCTTTGTCAGAGATACAACCTGCAAATATCTTCTGAGGGCTGTCTGCTTGCTTTACTTACTGTGTTCTTGGCTGTGCAGAAGCTTTTTAGTTTGATCACATCCCAGTAATTTATTTCTGGTGTTGCTTCAATTGCCCAGTGGAGGGGGGTACTCCTCATAAAATGTTCTCTCAGGCCAATTTCTTCAAGTGTTCTCCCTGCATTTTCTTCTAGTATTTTTATAGTTTCATGTGTTATGTTTAAATCTTTAATCCTGTAAGAGTCTTAGTTAATGGTGAAAGGTGTGGGTCCAGTTTCAGTCTTCTACAGGTTGCCAGCCAGTTTGCCCAGCACCATTTCTTAAATAGGAAATCTTTTCACCACTGAATGTTTTGAATTGGCTTATCAAAGATCAAATAATGGTAAGTAGCTGGGTTCATCTCTTAGTTCTCTATTCTGTTCCACATATCTCTCTGTTTTTGTGCCAGTACCAGGCTGTTTTGATCACTATTGATTTATGGTATATTCTGAGGTCTGGTAGCGTAATTCCTCCTGTTTTTTTTTTTTTTTTTTAAGAGATAGAGTCTAACTTTGTCACCCTCAGTATAGTGCTGTGACATCATAGCTCACAGCAACCTCCAGCTCTTGGGCTTAGGCCAGGCATCCTCAAACTATGGCCCGTGGGCCACATGCAGCCTGCCTAGGACATTTATCTGGCCTGCTGGGTGTTTTTGCCGCTGCTGCCTGTTCTGCTTAGCAACCTACTTGTCCTGGGGCCCATAGTCCGGCCCTCCAACGGTCTGAGGGACAGTGAACTCACTGAACTGGCCCCTTGTTTAAAAAGTTTCAGGACCCCTGGCTTAGGCAATTCTCTTGCCTCAGCCGCCCAAGGAGCTGGGACTACAGATGCCTGCCACAATGCCCGGCTATTTTTTGTTGCAGTTTGGCCGGGGCCAGGTTCAAACCCACCACCCTCAGTGTATAGGGCTGGCTGAGTAATGTCTTGGTTATTTGAGGTTTTTTCTGATTCCATATAAAATGAAGTATTATTTTTTCGAGATCTTTAAAGTATGACAGTGGTGCTTTAATATGGATTGCATTAAAATTGTATTACTGCTTTGGGTAGTATAGACATTTTAACAATGCTGATTCTTCCTAGCCATGAGCATGGTATGTTTTTCCATTTGTTAACATCTTCAGCTATTTATTTTCTTAGAGCTTCATAGTTCTCTTTATAGAGATCCTTTAAGTCTGTTGTTAGGTAAACTCCCAAATATTTCATCTTCTTTGGCAATACTGTGAAAGGAATAGAGTCCTTGACTGATTTTTCAGCTTGACTATTGTTGGTATATATAAAGGCTACAGATTTATGAGTGTTGATTTTGTAATCTGAGACGCAGCTGTATTCCTTGATCAATTCTAAGAGTTTTGTAGTGGAATCCCTGGTGTTTTCCAGATATACAATCGTATCATCTGCGAAGACTGAAAGTTAGATCTCCTCTGACACTATGGATGCCCTCGATTGCCTTTTCTTCCCTAATTGCTATGGCTAAGACTTCCGTTACAATGTTAAAAAGCAGTGGAGACAACGGGCAACCTTGTCTGGTTCCTGATCTGAGTGGAAATGATTTCAATTTAACTCCATTCAAAATGATATTGGCTGTGGGTTTGCTGTAGATGGCCTCTATCAGTTAAAGAAATGTCCCTTCTATACCTATTTTCTTAAGTGTTCTGATCACAAAAGAATGCTGGTTATTATCAAAAGCTTTTTTTCTGCATCAATTGAGAGAATCATATGGTCTTTGTTTTTTAATTTGTTTATGTGATGAATTATATTTATAGATTTACATATACTGAACCAGTCTTGAGACCCTGGGATAAACCATCTTGGTCATGGTGTATAATCTGTTTGATGTGTTGCTGGATTCTGTTTGCTAGGATCTTATTGAATATTTTTGCATCAATATGCATTAGGGATATTGGTCTATAATATTCTTTTCTTGTTGAGTCTTTTCCTGGTTTGGGGATCAAGGTGATGTTTGCTTCATAGAATATGTTGGGTAATATTCCTTCTTTTTCCATATTTTGGAAAAGGTTAAGTAATATAGATACTACTTCCTCTTTTGATGTTTGATAGAATTCCAATGCGATGCCATCTGGTCCTGGGCTTTTCTTTTTAGGGAGATTTTGTATAGTTGATGCTATTTCAGAACTTGATATAGGCCTGTTCAACATTTCCACTTCATTCTGGCTAAGTTTAGGAAGGTGGTGTGCTTTCAAGTATTGGTCTATTTTCTTCAGATTTTAATATATCTGAGAATGGAGTTTCTTGTAATATTCATTAAAGATTTTTTTGAATTTCTGAGGAGTCTGTTGTTATTTTGTCTTTGCCATTTCTGATTGATGAAATTAGATTTTACTTTTATTCCTGGTTAGGTTAGCCAAAGGTTTATCT